AAAAACCTCCGACGTGAAACTACATTGTAGAGGAAGATAGCCTACTCTTCCATTTAGGTTGAGATGGCTGCTTAGTTGTTGGATTGGTGTTGATAGTAAGTTACTTATGCTCAGTAGACTGTCCCTTAGTTCAAAAGAATTGTAGCTCAAAAGAATCGGACTAGTTCACTTGTGAATCTGCCCTTTGTGAATTACAGCATTGTGGAATGGTTTAAGAGCTGCTGATTAAAAACTTAAGTGTGTCCTTGATGAAAACAAGTCCAAAAGTAGAGCTCAATTCGCCTGAACTTTAAATCAACTAAGACAAGCATGAAAGCACTGTTTGAATAAAGTGGAGGAATCATGAATGTGGTCATGATGTGGTCTTATTTTCTTCTCTTCCTAAAGATGCAATTGGCTTGGAAATTAAAATTAAAAATGCCGTGGACAAGTTAGTCAAGTTGTCCATTAGTTGTTTTCATTTATAAAGCGAGAATCACAATAATTAACTGTTCTTTGTCGAAGTTCTGTTTATTTAGGAAAAAGATGATCTTGAGGCCCAGTTTCGTGATGTCAATGAGAAATCCGAGCGTGCGGCTTCTCAACTGTCTGCATTGCAGCAAGAACTGGAACGCAGTCGACAACACGCTCAAGAGGCACTGAAAGCAATGGATATGGAGAGACAACAGTTACGAAGTATGAACAACAAGTATGTTCTCCTCATGAATTTAGTTGACACTGCTCATCTACAAGTGATTTTGATGGATTATCTGCTTATTATTTTAAATTAGCTTTAAAGGAAAAAAGAAAAAGGAAAAGAGCAAAGAGATATCAACAGAGCTACATGTCGAAAAACTTCTTGATTTTCTTTTTGATGAATTAAGAAGATTTCATTAAAATTGCATCAAGAAGATGCAGTAGGTAGAATAGAAAAGAGATGAAGTAGTTATCTACTTAGCTCCAATATATGAGTAGCTACCCTAAGATCAGGGAGCAAACGACGTCCAAAAGAATTTCAGTACTATTTATAGGGGTCAGAAAGTTCCAGCTAAACAAGATAACCAAGCATCTGGCTTTCAAGGAGTATGTTGGAGTTGAGATACCTTAAAACAGCTGAGTTTCGTCTCTATCCAGATACACCAGAAAATAGTTGTTGGGATCATTTTCCAGATCCCTTTGATGGCATTATCAACTCTACAATAACACCAGCTTACATATGCTTCTTTAATTGTCTGTGGCATGACTCAACTTAGACCAAAAATAGAATAAAAGATGCTCCAAAGGTCGAATAACTTCTTGATTGAGCTACAACATTATCCTTTGAGCTCCTCCAGTGTCCATATACTAACTGAGCAAATAATTTTTCAAGTATTTCTGACTAAGAAGTTACGTACGTGGACAGACTGGATGCACGCCTGACCAGAATGAAAGCTGTCTCCTGCGACGCTTTCATGCTTTTGACTTCAATCGATGATCATTTATGGTTCTTTAGTTGGTTAAAATATGTGAAGGCTTTAATTTTTGTCAATT